GGACACGGGTGGAGAGGGACCTCACAGCATAGTGATGGAGTAGGCTCCAGAGCTGGGCAGTTGTGGGAATGTGCACAAGGCAGGGGTTGTGATCAAGCAGGATTTGCAGCCCTGGTCCAGCACTAGATCACCTGGGAAACATTTTGAAAATGTGAATCCCTGAGCCTCATCCTCAGGGATTTTGAGATGGGCCCAGGCACCTGTAGACTGCTGGCCCCTGATGATTCTCCATGCAGCTGGGACTGAGGACAGTGTGGGAAGGATGGATCCATCAGGCGACATGAGGCAGGTTTCTCTTGATGGGGCACCTGTTCACTTTAAAGTCATGGGGCTGACGTCACCTGCTCCAGGACACCTTCCCTGACCTTTCCACAGTGCTCTGTGCACATCACTTTCCTGGTACTTTGTGGGGATAGCATCTGGGGCAGTTAGAGAGCTCCGGCTTCAACCTTATCTGAACCCGTTTCTATAATCAGCAGACGGAAAAATAATTCTTCCCAGGACATGTTTAATGAATAGCTCTCCTTCTTCTTTCTTCTTCCTCTTCCTTCTCTTCTTTTTTCTTCCTTCCTTTTTCTTTCTTGGTTCCTTCTCTTCCTCCTCCTCCTCCTATGCGTGAGCTAAAGTGCACACTGCGGTTGCCAGTGCCAGGTGGTGGAGGAGGAGTGCCCTGGCAAGGGGACAGGAAGCCCAGAGAGGGCAGCCGGGGCTCTGGAGGCCGGGATGCCCCCATGACGCCAAGTCACCTCTTCATTTACTAGAGAGTTACTGACCCCCCTCTCTTCATGCTCATGTGAGGCCTGAGAAGGCCGAGAAGCCTAAAGCTCAACATGCGGTGAGGAAGGATGTGGGAAGTGAACTGAGCCGCAAGGTCAGAGGTGCTGGGAGGGAGGCCTGTGCAGAAGACTCCAGGACGGGGAGGTGAGACTCAGGCTCGGAGCATAGTGGAACTTTCAAGAGAGTCGCGAGAAACAAGGAGGCAGAGAACCGGCTCCTTAAATGGTCAAGTCCAATGTGGGGAAGAGAAGAGGAAAGGGCATTGGAAAGTGGAGGAGAAGGGACTGCAGGGCTGGGGTGGGGGCCTGGCAGGTGGAGGTAACAGGGCTGTGCAGGCCACTGTAGGAGGCTAGGGAGGCAGGGCACAGGGGCCTAGGGGCCAGCTGGGAGGCAGCCAGAGGTGAGGCGGGGAATGTTTTCAGGGGCACACTGTGCCCAGAGTTGCTGCGGGAGGTGGGCTCTCCAGTGAGGCTTGTGTGTTGCCGGATGTAAGCACTAGTCACTTGCAGCTCATCTGAAAGCCTCGCTCTCCACCCTGGAGGTTTCCCGGTGACTGGCTCCAGTCCCCAGAACCCCACCCAGCTCTCACTTTTCTACCTCTGAACACTTTGACCTTGATCTGTGGGACAGAGCCAAGAGTGGACATTCGCTGTTTGACCCCCGAGTGCCACAGAGCCAGTGGAGAGAATGATGCTTCCCTCAGAGGAAAATGCAGGCTGTTCCCTCCTTGTGGGGCTCACAGCTCATGTCATCACCAGAGTCAGTGCAAAGTCACTGTTCTCACCTCTTAGGGGAAGCAACTTGGAGGTGCCAGGATGCCTGCTGCCCACTGTTTGGAAGCTGCCCATTAACTGTGCAGCCTGAGCACCAGCACGTAGAGCCCCACTGTGTGCCACATTCCTCCTTCCTCTGTCCCTCGCTCGGACTCCTCATTTGCTCATTTGCCTTCATATGGTCCCAGTCTGAGAGCCACACACGGGACTCACGGTGCTTCCAGCGGAGCACCAGACTCAGATCCCTCTGTGTTTCCAAAAGCAGTTGTTGACTTTGCACACTCATTTTACAGATGAGGAGACAGGCAGAGGGCAAAGAAGGAGACAGGATGGGGTTAGAAATGGCTGTGGCTTTGTGCCCCTGGTCTGTGTGCATGCCAGAGATCACCACCCACATAGAGCTACTAACCCACAGTCCCGTCTCCGCCTCTGAATGAAGCTCCCTGCAGACAGAGGCCCTGTGTGTTCCGCTCTGTATCCTTTGTGGTCTAAACACTTGCCTGAGACATGGAAAATGCTCATTAAATGAATAAATGATGGGTCCTAGAGCTCCGGGTCGGGCTTTGGCAACTGGCTCCTGGCCTCTCCTCAGAGGCCTGACCTCTTATCTCACTGCTCCAGGAATTGAGCTACTCCCGGAGAAGAGGACGGCTCTCCTGATCTAAATCACAGCTGCTTATAATGTTTCTGTCACAAGGCTCTCTCCCTAAAGGCACCAGGCTCTTTCCAGTTTTGCTCCCTTAACTTGTAGGGAAACCTGGAATCTTCCGTAAGAAATGCAGAGAGATTGGGGACGGGGGTGGTGGGCCCAGGTATGAACACCTGCCATGTGCAAGCCACCTTGCTGCTCAGCTGCTGGGAGGTTGTAAGCAATGGACGGAAGCTGGATCGTGAGTGACGGTGCACACCCCATCGGTGGGTGTTTCTCTGAGGCAGGGAGACCCGACCTCGGTGCTTTATTATTGCCGTTGCTGTCTTAGCTCCCACATCAAAAGTGTTACGATGACATGACCCTGGTGGCCATGAGTGTAATACACCACAGAGGTACAGCCAGAGGGAGATTTGTTGACAATGGAAAGATTTAGGAAGTAAAGATTTTAGGAAGACGCCTGTAGGCCCTGACTGAGTCCCCCATGGGGCCTTGCCCTCCCTCTCGTGCCTCTCCAGATGCTGAACAACCCGGAGAAGATGGCAGAGCAGATCAGTAAGGACCTCGCCTGGCTGGCCGGCCACCTGATGGCCCTGTGGACTCACTTCCTAGACACGGTGACTCTGCACGCCCACGTGACCACGTACCTCACCCAGGAGCATCACACCCTGAGGGTGAGTTGTCAGATGGGATAAATGTTTCTTCTCAGGAAACTTTGTGGGAGTTAGTTCAAGACCTGGGATTGGCCTCTAGATCTGAGGCTTGTCCCTCCTGTCCTGTGAGAGGCCAGTGTGACACCGGAAACTCACTTCTCCTCTCAGGCCTTTGCTCTGAGATTCCGGCTGGGGCCGTCTCCAAGTACAGCCGAGGAGTATCACAGGTACTTTGAAAAACATGTGTCAGATCTATTAAGAGTCGGGTATAAATGTCTTAATGCCACAATTAAGTAAGAGCGGTGAAGGCTATGTTAACCAGTTTAATGTCAGCATTCCAGATTATATATAAAATCAGTGTAAACCCCATAAATGCATTAATGTGCATAGTTATGATTTAATAAGAAAAAAAAAAAGAAAAACATTTGTAAAGAAGCTTTGCAAATGCAAGGCGTTCTCCAGTTTGGGTGCATTTGGGTAGCTGCCAGCCTGTGATAAAGGTGTCAGTCCTCTGGTTTAGAGCAAGAGGACCAAATACCTGAGAGCTGAGTGCACGTGGCCTCTATTTGCAAAGGTCTTAGGTTTTAGTGGAAGAAATAAGGTCTAAACATAAAGATGATAGAAGGCAACGCAAGAACAGACCCACAAACAGGCCTTACACGGTGTCCATACGGCAGGTGTGCAGAGCCGTGGAGGAGCGCGAGCAGCCTGGGAGAGGCCGTGGGCACAGATTGCTCCTGCTGCTTCATGACACTTGTTTCCTTGATCCACAATTTAAAAAAAAAAAGGAAGTTATACCCACTTGAAGCATTAAACTGCTCACCTTGCTGTATCCACAGGTTCGCAGATTTTCTGAGGCCTTCTTTTATATGGAGCACCAAAAAGTCGCAGTCCTGACTTTTCAGGAAAATCTGTAAGTAACCCATTGCATGCCCGCTTCATTTCCACCCCAGACATTCCTGTTCAAAGTTCCCCTTCACCTCTGAACGTGCAGGGGAGGTGTCTGCTCGCCTCTGTCGATCCCATCTGCATTTCCTCTGCAGGTGAAAAAGTCACGCGAGTTCCAACTCAGCAGTGGGAGCCGGCAGGCATCAGAAAAGGTCACCAGCCCAAGTTTTCTTTTTGTGAATGTCATTACAGTTTTGCAGACAGAGTTAAGACTTTCTAGGTCCCCAACGACAGCGCTGAGTCCTCTTTGCAAAATGAATTAGAAGCAGGTGGCATGGCCACAAGCTATGTCAGAAAAAACACGGAATTCTCCTGAGACCTGGTGGTAGCTGTGAAATGCCTTTAGCATAAGAATTAAGTCTGAACTACCCAATTAGGAGGGCTGATGAATTTGTAAGTTTGCCTTCTTCCAGAAAAAAATGAGAAGTATTCAAAAAAAAAAAAATCAGAGAGTTGATGGAAGATGAGGCCGTCCTCTCTCAGAATCCCTGGTGAGCAGGGAGATTCCTCCAAAATGTTTTTGCCTTTGCTACAGAAGTCCAGTGAGTTCTTTTTGCTTCCAAATGATGTGTTCACTTCAAAAAATAGATGTGGGCAGAGTAATATTTGCAATGCCACAGTCGACCTGGAAGGAGAAGCCTCTGAGATGGACTCCTCACTGCAGGCAGCCCGGGGGACCTTCCACCTTCATCTCTGTAATCTTGTTTCCTCCCCACGCTTCATTCTGTCTGGAAATGACAGTGACATTTACACTTTGTCTCATGGATTCTGAAAGTAAGAGGGGCACCGAGGAAAACTCAGGTGCATGATTCTTTTTCTGTTTTTTTTTTTTTTTAACCATCATCCAGCCTTAGTTTTCATATCTATACAATGGGAAAGGTAATAACTGTGAGGACCGAGTGAGAATGTCCATGCTCGTGGACTCACAGCACAAGCCACAGAGTGCTCGAAAAATGTCCGATGGTGATTAAATGTGCACAAATGTTCACTGTACACATGGGCAGAGGGATATAGCCAGGAAGGGAGGCAATATGCCGTTTGCATGGGGCACTCATTCTGGGAGACAGGGGTGAGATGTAAATTATACTGTCTCAGGTAGTGACAAGTGGGGAAAAATAAAGCAAAGTGAGGACATAGAAAATGAGGAGAGTCGGGGTCTGGGCAGTGTCCTCACAGATGTTTAACAACCAGCTTTCAGAAGAGCAGGCACACAGAAAAGCTTCAACTTTGTAGTGTTGGCCCATTTCTGTATGAATGCTCCCAGATTTCAAGCTCTCGACTTGAATGTTATCACTGAGCATGGATTTGGGAAGAGGTGGTCCCTGTAGCTTTTGCAAACCAGCATGACCTGGCTCCAAGGCCACGCTGGGTGGGAGAGAAAGACTGTGATGAAAGGAGGCCTTTCTGAGATTGCACACTGAAGGGTGTCTGGGGTCAGAGTAAGCCGGATCACGGTGTGGGAGAAGATTGTTCAGGCAGAGGGGACCACTGGCAGGAGGGACTGATGTGGGGATGCCATGTGTTTGAAGAGCAGCAAGAAGGCAGGAGGATGGAGGGAGCAGGTGGGAGAGGGAGGAAGGGGATGTCAGAGGTCAGGTGAGGACCAATGGGACATCATGCACTCAGGAGGATGGAGGGAGC